ATACATACATACATACATACATACATACATACATACATACATACATACATACATACATACATACATACACACATACATACATTCAGGCAGACAGACAGACAGACAGACAGACAGACAGACGACAGACGAAGCGCGTTATAGTCAGTAGGATTATTTCATCTTCCCATGAATAACAGGAGGAGTGTTATTATGCTACCTCTCAACAAATAATTCATAACTGAAGTTTCACCCACTATGGAAACTGTAGGCTGGCAAGTGGTCGTACTTTTACTGTAGTTTCGAAGTAGTGAAGAGCTGATCTGACCATACTTCTTAGTTTCTCCTTCATGTTTTCGTTGAACCTACAAGTTAAGGAAAAATGTGTGTGAAATCACCCTAGAAGAATTATATGAATAAAGAACTTCTAACTTTGTCATTCATACAACAACTTAAACTTAATACCTATACCAGTCGGTTCGCCCTTCTGACGCCGGGCTTCCCTCCTCCATCGCAAAGTTGTAGTAATCGGCTTACTCTCCACTCCTTCTTTGAACAAATATTTTCCCTTTCAAGGAGTTCGAGACAGGACTAACAGAACAGCGCAAATGATATTCAGTGTAGGTCGGCGCTTACGCTTTTGACTGGAAGTCTCGATCTTTTGCTTCCAAGTAGAGAGACTCAAAGACTAGAGTAGATTATAAGAAGATACCTATCAAAGAATAAACTGTTGGGCAATCATAGCCTTAGGCGGTACTTACAAATGTTCCGGATGGTGATAACAACATTATCGGGTGCCGTTATCATGAACTTTTTTAATGATTTTTTTAAAATGTGTAATCGATTAGCAAGATATGAACAAAATACTCATCTGCTTATCGTAGCGCCGCTAATGGGGTCCCATCGCTGCACTTACCACTAACTTTTACCGCCCTACTCTACCGTCCCGTCTTATTGAATGAAACATACTGAGCAGTTTGAGCAACATCGTAAATACCGAAGAAATAGGGTTTTGATTGGCAGTTGGCTCCTGCTCTCTAAGGCCCCTTACCTTCTCTTGTCAATCATCGTCGGCTCCTGTCGTCGAGTACCTACGATTTCATCATGTACTACATCACTCTTTACCATTGTTAATAGAAAAGCAGGCGTTACGAGCTTACAGTCAAAAATTTTCTCGCGCACGCTCCGCTTCCTGAAAGCGGACTCTGGCCCCGGTATAAGTGTTCCCATCCTGCCTCCTGTGCTCCTACCAAATTTCAACGTCCTAGGTCCACGCGAACAGGAGCTATGAATTTCAGGTCAGATCCAACCACCGACACACGCACGCACAAACCCACAGACAAACCAACAGACACGCTTAGCGATTTATCCATGATCCTTCTTATCTATAAAGCAGTAACTTGGTTTGTTGGTTTGTCGGTATGTCGGTATGTCGGTTTGTCTGTATGTCGGTTTGTCGGTCTGTCCGTCCGGGTTACTTTG